GCCCTACTCCTGCTGCTGCCGCTGCTCCCATACACTGATGGTGCCAGCCCTGCTCACACCCGCTGATGGTGTGGAACAACTGGGGCCAGTGTTGTCAGTAGGCACGAGCTGCAGCTGCTGCCCCGATTGCCCCTCAGGAGCAGGGGCAGGTGGAGAAGCCCTCAGGGGAGATTAAGACAAGCAGCCACTGCTTGCACCTGATAGTGCTGAGTGACTGAATGGCTGCTCTGGCGCAGGCAGTGAGTGTGAGCAAGGCTGGCGCTGGGTGTGAGCACTGGGCAGGACTGCGGTGCAAAGGAGCAAAGAATTTTCAGTAACCACCGAAGGCTCGCCCTGATGGAAGTGACTGGTGCCCCATCTTGGTCTGGCAGCCCCACTCACCTGCTTGGCCAACACCCACCATGTTCCACACACGCCCACTGGTGGTCAGCACACACCATAGAAACTGGTTGTTTGGTTGTTCTGCCGTTTGGTCAATTTGCATATTAGCCTTTTATTACCGTATAGAGGATTGTTTTGGGGGCCACATTTTTCTATTGTTGTCATTCCATAAGAATTATTTCATGATTACTCATTAACTATTTCCAACTCTGCTAAAAAGGACCAAATCATAAAACAATGAAAGAATAAAGGAATTGGCGATGATGTAATAGAGGTTATCACAGTTTTATTACTGTGTTCCTAAAATATTGCATCATCTTTCAAGAAGATAAATAAGAAGCCTAAAGACTTTCATTGACCATAACAGAAATCAAAAATGTTCATTTTCCACATTGGCAAATAGGAGAAATTGACAGGGAATATTTCACAATTATTAGACAAATCAGGAGATGGATGAAATTGATCACATAAGCAAAACCTCAGACTATCAGTCTTTAGATAATGATATTCTGGGTCACTTTTCTCAAGCTCAGGAGCTGAGCAATGCATTTTTTAGAACAAAGAGGAAATATAGTATTCTTTTGCACTTGGTTATTCAACAGGAAGGAAGACATCATTCAATATTTTACTGAGTCTTCGCTGGTTTGGCTCAGTGGACAGAATGCCAGCTTGCGGACTGAAGGGTCCCAGGTTCAATTCAGGCCAAGGACACATTCTTGGGTTGAAGATTTGTTTCCCAGTGGGGGGTGTGCAGGAGGCAGCCAATCAATGATTCTCTCTCATCATTGATTTTTCATCTCTCTCTCTCTCCCTCTCCCTTCCTCTCTGAAATCAATAATATATATATATATATATATATATATATATATATATATATATAGCAGCCATTGACAATATTTTTTCTTCTTATATGATACTTGTGCAACATTTACGTTTGTGAAACAGAATCTTTTGACACCATTAAGAAGTAGACAAATACTAAAGGCAGAAGTGTCTATGAAAGAGAAAAGTAAAGAGCCAATGTAGACATAAAAATGATTGGGTTATGCTTCTAATAAGTTTCCAAATTTTTATAAATCCAAATTTGAAAAGTATTTTGCAATTGTGGACAGAAAACGGAATTTCTCACTTCAACAAAATTATAAACTCTAAAAAGTTTTAAAAGTACTGTGTTTTTTTTTACAATTATCAAGTATAAATGCAAGTGTAAGAAAAAGACTAAAAAATATGATGAGCCAGATCCTAATAGATATATTTGAAGGGTGGAATTGGATTTATAATATGAATCTATTCTGGGTACATGCCTGGCATGTGAATAGCAATTGCATTAAAAAGAAATCCCAGAAATCCCTACCTTAAAAATCTGGTCTTACTATATATAAATTTTAATTCAAATTAAAATATTTATGATATTAATTATTATTAAAATTTCTAAATGAAGTTATTTCTTACCATATCTTCATTCCTACATCTGTAAATCATTTGCAAATATTTTTAATATGTGGATAAAATAATAATAGTATAAAGGGCCCATTGTTCCTAGGAAGCATTGGTGCTGGGCTGGCTTTTCTGGCACAGTGATGGGCAAGATAAGCCTCAGAACAAATTCAGGTAGCTGGACCCAATGAACATTGTAGGACAGCAAATTTCAACCTCTTTTATCTTATGGCACATATAAAATAATTATTAAAATTCTACAGCACAGCAACAAATTTTTTTTTTTGCTGATTTGACAAAAATAAGATATAATTTTTATTCATTCACACTGGGCTATTGTTGTGTTGGCTGTTGTCATTTTTAAATTTGAAAATCTAAGGGAAAACAGGTGAGTGCCCCTGACTAGTTAGGTATTGCATGTTTTAAAAAATTCTTGCAGCACACCATTATGTGGAAGGAAATAAGTCATCAAATACAGATAATTAGGTACATCTAGTAACATTAAGATCCCAGATGATGTCACAGAATGAATAAGAAATGGTATTAACCGGTAGGGTTACATGACTTGATACATCAACCTTAGAAAACTCAGCAGCAATTAAAGAGATAAATTATTTTTTCCTGAATAAAGAGGATTGAGAAAAGTATGTTCAGAAAATGCAAAGCATATGAACAAGTCCAGGATATTAGAAGAAATATGTAAAAATGGTCATCTATTTAGCCTCTTTGTGTAGAAATTATTTTTTTTAAAGGAGGATAATGAACCAAAAGCCTTGACTAGGGGTGTGGGGCGATTATGAGGGAAGGATAAAATTCATGAGGGCCTGATGAGTGTTTCAGGTTCAATTTCAAAAGGTCGTGATCAGAGAGGGATGTCAAGGCTGGAAACCCCATGAGTATAGTATTTCAAAGAAATGGCGGACTTCAAGGGATGACTGTGTAGTGGATAGCAGAAATGCAATATACATGAAGTTGACTAGAAGGAGCTGGCTAACATTTCAACTGATTATCAACTTGGCACATATTACTTGGATGGTAATATAAGTAAAGACACAAATAGCTAGTATAACTATATGACCTAGTTTGTCTGGGCCCTTTAGTTTCTCACTGTGGTCCTAGTGTCAAATCTGGTTTGGATAATAAGTTGTATAATTGCCTCAGTAGTAGGTAATTCAATGAATTTAAAAAAAAAGGTGTTAAATAATACCGTTTCCCCGAAAATAAGACAGTGTCTTATATTAATTTTTGCTCCCAAGGATGCGCTAGGTCTTATTTTCAGGGGATGTCTTATTTTTCCATGAAGAAGAATACGGTACATATTTATTGTGAAATGAAAATAAAGGAAATTTATTACCTGTATACGGTACGGTAGTAAGGTAGTTGTCAACACAAACCAGACAAACTGTTGAATCCTACGGTATCAAGAATGTACTCATTTATTCAATGACAATCATGTCATCATCTTCTGGAACATCATCATAACAATCCAGTTCCTGAATTTCCTGGTGAATTTCTTGTGACTCCATTTCTTTCAGAATCAGTGGACCAAATCTCTCATGTTTAGCAATAGCACTGTCTTTAAATGAGTACTTCTTGTCAAGATAACCTGCACGCAGTGCATTTGCAATGCAACTGTCAGTGATTTTCTCCTATGAATTCTTCACCCAAGTCACAACTTCTTGCAGTTTAGGATTCACAGAGTTTATGGTAAATTAATTTTCATTCTGAGACAGAGCCTAGGTGGCCTTATTTTCGGGGGATGCCTTATATTTCACTCAGAAGGAAACCTGTAAGTAGGTCTTATTTTCGGAGGATGTCTTATTTTCGGGACACACTAGTGTCCTATAGTTCATTAACTGTAACAAAGAGGACAGATACTGGTGTAACCAGAGAGATGGATATCCACGGTGCAGTTGCTGAATGACAGTAATAAATGAGGGGGGTTCGGGGCCACAACAAGAAGCCCTGTTGGGTCTTTTTCTGGGATGAGTAAGGGGTGCAAGAAAGGAAGGGGCCACTGAGAGGGTTTCATAAGAGGTTAGTGATGCTTTCAATTTGGTGAGTGATTTGGAAGAGGTGAAGGAGGAAAAGATCAAAAGATCACATTGATATCCATTCCCAACAAAAAGCAGGTTTCACAAGACATAAAAAGTGTGCTAAATTAGAAAGAGGATCTGGTAAAGGTGTGTCACTCTCAAGATAAAGCAAAAAGACCCATTTTAGTCACAGAAGTCTTTGCATCTCTGAATATAGATATTTGCCTTTAATTAAAAGTAAGAATTTACAGGTTATTGGGTTAGGATCCCAAAGAAAAAGTAATAAAAATATTATTTCTTAACAATCAGAAAAACAAAGACAGTTAAAGAACTTTAGCAAACATTTATGAATGCTTCTTACTTCATTCACATAGGAAAAGATGATAAAAGGCAAAAAAACAAAACAACACATACACATACAAAACCCTCACAAAAAGAATAAACAACCCCCCAAAACAAGACGAAACCTTTCTTAACAAAATTACAATGTAGCTAATGCCTATAAAACAATCCCAAAGTACTATTTAAAATACTTTAAAATGTTTTTTTAAATTACAGATCAAAGCAGATTGCCCTGTCACTAAGATTTCAATCCTGGGTAGCACTGCCAGTGACTTAAAATATCCATGGAACTTTGATCCCAACTTTTGAGATTAAAATAGTAGTTAAAATTGAGTCAATGTTGGTTGATCAATCATATTAAAACTAGAGGCCCAGTGCACAAATTTGTGCACAGATGGGGTCTAGCCGGCCGACCCCAATCTGAGATGATTGGGATGGGCTGGGTAGGGGAGGGGACATGGGCGGTTGGCTGGCTGGCCCTGCTCCTGATCAGGGTAGGGGTGATTGATTGGGGGGGCAGGGCCAGCTGGGAAGGGGTAGATGGTTGGTGGGACAGCCCTGCCCCCTGGTCAAACTCTGGGTCAAGGGGGACAATTTGCATATTAGGTTTTTATTATATAGGATGAAACAGTATGCCATAAGCATAATAGGACTTCATGATTAGAATTTTTTTATAAAAGCAAACTTTGATGGGAGTGCATAGAGATCCTTTTAATGAGAAATAGGAAGATATATTGACAGAAGAAAAAACTCTATGTTGGATGTTTCAGCATCTGGGAGAGCCCAACACAAGGGCCATCTTACCTCCCATCTGCGTAGTCTGCATCTGCTCCACCCCACCAGACATCTGAGTCATCCTCCTCGGCATCAGCTGAATCGACAGTGTCACTTTCCTCGGCCAGCGGGCAACATACAAACTCCACCCCTCGGAACTTGTCAATCCCGCAGGGCAGCAGCATGCCGTAGTCGTGTAGGTTGGTGCTCTTCTCACTGCAGGTCTTGGCAAGGGAAGGAGAAAAAAAGAGAGATCAGTAGAATAGATGATGTTCTTTGTGAGAAAATGCAAATATAATAACACCCAGATCCACAAGAACCAATTTTACAATGGGATGGGTCATTTGCTTTTTGAGTGACTAAAAAACAGTTCCTTTAGCTCAGGCTATCTTGATACCTGTAATATTTAACTTGATTACTTGCTTAATAAGGTTAACTTTTTACATTAGAGAAATGAAGAGAAACAATAGGAATGAAACCAACTGGAAAATAAGGTGTAGAAGAAGCCTTCCTTGGTGAACACATCTAAGTGAATCAGTGCCTTCTGGCTTCATTTGTGCATCTGGAAGTGGCCACTCCTGCCCAGCTAGTGTGGCCATTGACATATGAACCAGAAAGTCATGGTTGGATTCCCAGTCAGGGCACATGCCCAGGTTGCGGGCTTGATCCCCAATAGGGGGTTGTTCAGGAGGCAGCTGATCAGTGATTCTCTCTCAAAATTGATGTTTTTATCTCTCCCTCTCACTTATTCTCTGAAACCAACAACAACAACAAAAACAACAACTATATATATATATATATATATATATATATATATATATATATAGGCTTAAGCAACCATTCAACCATTTGACTGGTAGCTATGATGCACACTGTCCTTCAAGGGGTAGGCGCTCAATGCACAGGCATGGAAACATGGTACAGAATGATGAATCTCAGAGGGAAACTGAAGCGGGGAGGGTGGAAAGAGATTAACCAAATATTTTATACACATACTAGAGGCTTGGTGCATGAATTTGAGCACTGGTGGGGTCTCTTGGCCTGGCAGGTGGGGATCAGTTCAAAACTGGCTGTTCAACATCCCCTGAGGGGTCCCGGATTGCAAGAGGGTGCAGGCCAGGCCAAGGGATCCCACTGGTACACGAATCCGTGCATTGGGCCTCTAGTTTAAAAAGAAAAGAGAAATGACTACTCCTTGTATACCCCCAATTCACTGCAATCTCTACTATGGATGAGCGTTTCCCTCCCTTAAGTCTATCTTATTCTAGATATTCTCCCTCTTGGCTCGCCTCCAGAATAACAATCCTGGGAGGAGAAGAAATTGTTCTCTGCTATAAAGCAGAAAATACTGTCATTAGACATTTCTCTTTGAGTATCTGTTTGTTTTCCTGGGATTTGCTACAGTTGCACAAATCTAAATGAACATGAAGCTTTGAAAGCAACCACTGCTAACGGAGGCAAGATTAATATTTCAACGCATGTAGGAAGGTAAACAATGAAAGTATTCGAGTGCATTTTGACCTCGTAGGAATTAGAATCATTTCCGTCTCTTAGCAACAGAAAAAAATTTTGTGAAAAGTCACGAAGAAATGAAAAATGAGGTTAGCAGACAGATAGCTGGGCTTTAAATTGTCTGGCTTGTTTTTTTAAGATCAGCAAGCTGTGAAACACATTTTTATACACAGAAAATTTTGTTCTACAGTAAATGAGGACATATTTTACTAAAGGCAACATTAATGCAAAATCTTAAGTGGTGTTTTTTTTGCTCAACAGCTAGAAGGTTGTGATCCAACAGTTACACTGAGGCAGATGATGGTTTCTCAATCTCAGTACCAATGAAGTTTTGCACCAGATAATTCTTGGGTTGGGGGCAAGAAGAATGTCTAGCTGACTCTCTGGCCTCTAGCAACCCAATACCAGTAGAACCACTGGTTTTAATTGTGAGGACCCCAAATATCTCCAGACATTGGCACATGTTCCTGGGGAGGGATGGGGAGCAAAACTGAACCCATTGAGAACCACGGTATTCGATGGCGCCTAATTCTAGGGGACTGATAACATGTCACACACAAAAGCTATACTTACATTATGAAGTTTTTCTAGTAAATTTATGTATCCAAAGAAAAGGACATTTTAAATGTAGTAATATTACAGAGTGGCATTTTATGCTAAGTATCTCATGTCTTTTGCCAGTTTTGCCAAAGGCAGGAGTTAGCCAAAACCAGGATTGGTGCCATGTACTTCCCTACTATGGAAAAATGAAGGTGGTAACATGGCCTGGTGAACACAAACCCGGACTGCTTCATTTAGGAACAGAATTCTAATTAGCTTTCATATTAGTATTGGACAAGCTATTTCATTTCTACTACTGTAGGCCCCAATAAATCATAAAAAATGGTTAAATCGTTAAAACTCTGATTGTGAAAAAGAAAACAATAGGTAAACAAAAATAATTAGAAGAAGAGCGACATTTTAAGGTCTAGAGAATATAAGATTATAATGTCTAGTTTATAAAATGTGGCACAGAAATATAACGAATCTAAAGAGGCCCTGTTTTAACTCTTTACAAATAATCATGAATAGGGCTTATTTCTTAAATATATTTTTTTTTATTAATTTTTTACAGACAAAAGGGAGAAGGATAGAGAGTTAGAAACATCAATGAGAGAGAAACAGTGATCAGCTGCCTCCTGCACACTCCCTACTGGGTAAGGTATATGCCCTTGACCAGAATTGAACCCGGGACCCTTGAGTCCACAGGCCAATGCTCTATCCACTGAGCCAAACTGGTTAGGGTAAGGCTTATTTTTTAATAGTAAAAGAGAACTTAATTATCAACACAGCCGTTGCCTCAAAATACCACATCATTACCCATGTCCTTCGAAAGTCTTCACTTTAAAATAGAAAAAAAATATGTATGGCTGGTACCTCTTTGGCGACGGTGTGCCAGTGAAGGTGGGTCTCGCAGACATCCATCCTCTCCTGGTGTAAGAATTTGCACTTGTCGGGGACAAGGAGGGCATCACTGACAAACTCGCCAACTGCAAGAAAGGGAAACAGTTTCATGTCACTCCGTCTGCATCACATGTTATCTCAGGGATGGTGTCACGGAAGGGTAGGCTCAAAGGAGTCAGAGCAGTTAATCAGCTTTTTGAAGGATGAAGTCATCAGTCCAAGGAAGCTAGGACATTTAGCATGCTCAGCCCGGTGTCCTTAGCAGCCCAGTTCTTGGTCACATCAACCTTGGTGGTTAAAACACTTCCTTCATGTTTTAAGTAAAATCTTTAATGAAGAGGAATCTCTGCGTGCAATCACAGAAGAGCTGCCCTTCAATTGCAATGAGGGTAAAAAAAATACCTTTTGCCTACTTCCCCATGCAACCTTTGACCTTCTATCCAACATAGCAGCTGGTTTATGGAGAGAGGCAGAGCATATTTTTGTGGCTGACCTGCTGCTCTCCATGCTGCCGGCAGTATTGGAATAAATGCTCATATGTGATTCCACCCTGTCTCTTCATCATTGGCTCAAGTAGCGAGAGGCAGCATGAACCCATTGATTGTTCTGTTACATAAACTCCACTTCCTACCTGAGAGATGCCTGCTGGGAAACGTGTCTAGGACACCCACCCTCTGGAAATTATGACCAAGTGACCTAGAGATAAACATCACCTAATAATGCAAGTGACATCACTGTTTTCTTTTCCTTTTATGTGGGATACTATAAAACAACAACAACAGCAACAAAACAAAACACCTAAAACCCAGACGAGATAGAGAATAAAAAATAAAAAATCAATAAATCCAAAGGCAATATACCTTCCCCAGGTGGATTCTTCATAATTTCTCATTACAGGCAATGAACTAAAACTGTGAGCAAGAATCCCAGATGCCTGAGTTATCCAATTTTTAAGACCACAGGAAGCCAGAAATGACCAATGGCTTAAAAATGACCTGGTTTATTAGTTCTGATCAGTCCAACTGTATTGCAATATTTGCAAATGTTTGAAATACTAATGATGCTTTTCTATTTTACAAGTTAATTACTATAAAGATTACGCACCTGGCCCAAGACTATTAAATCAGTCCATGTGTCTACCTACCAAGAGCAGATATCAGATACTCTTGACTTTGGCCTGACCGAGTTCTCAAGACAATAACTGGGTAACAGCTGCAGAAAAACAATGAGCTTTTGTCTTGTTTGACTTGCCCTCAGGCCAATCTGTGGAGGACTGGCTTTCACTGCAAAGCCAAAGTCACAGGAAGATATTTACCTCATAAAATCTGATGTTCACCATGAGAGTATGTATTGCTTTAATTAATAAAAGGATACTTGAATTTTTTAAATTTGCAAAAGTGACATTTCATTTAGTATTGAAAATACGCTCTTAGGTTTCTCATATTGTGCATTGCCAAGGAATATATGCTCCCCCTGCCATGAGATTGTTCTTTTAAAAGATTAATATTGGCTATTTAATAAGCCTCCAGGACTCCTGGCAAAACAGAAGACCCATTGTATTCTAAGATTGAAATAACACTTAGAATGAATCTGTGTTTTTACAGCCCTGCCTATATTGCTTTCAAAATTTATGAAACATACTAGAATGTTACACAATTAAAATGCAAAAATCTGTTTTAAAAGTGATAATAAAAAGCCCTGGCTGGGTAGCTCAGTCAGTTAAAGTGTTATCCCAGATATGCCAAGGTGGCAAGTTCCATTCTCATTCAGAGTATACAGAAAACAACCAATGAGTGAGTGCATAAAACAAATGTTTATCTCTCTCTCTCTCTCTATCTCTCTCTGTCTCTTTGTCTCTCTCTCTCTCAATACAAAATTATAATAAAAATTAGTGGTAAAATTACAATGAACCTTTTTTCACCAACCAACTTAGTGTTACATGGTTTGTTTTCTTTTTTAAAAATTCTAACAGAATCTATGATATGAGAGGAAATATATAGGAACTCTCTACTTTCCACTCAGTTTTGCTGTGAAACTAAAATTGCTCTGAGAATAGTTTTTAATGTAAAAAAATCTGATCGAATATGCCTGGAATTTCTATGTAGAACTGTGTATATTTTTATTTTTTAAATGAACCTTGTTGATCTGATCTTTCAGTTTAAAAATTTTTTAAACAGAATTCAAGTAAAAGAAATGAAAATAAATTAAGTATTATAATAAGAAATCATTCATGCTCCTGTTTATGTCAAACTTTAGAAAATTTGGTACCGCATAGATGTTATAGAAACAGTAATAAGGATAAAAATAATATAGAATAAATATTAAAGTGTGGAATTAAAGTGTGATATCTGAAAGTATGGAATGGAATGTAAACAAACTGATAAGCACCCTTGATTGACCTGTATGTAGGAAATAGATAAGGTGACCTGTACCCCATACGTAAGACCTGATAACAAGGCTCCTGGGACCTGCTGATAAGACACACTGAAGACACATCTGAGCACTGAAGACATATAAAAAGAGGAAGCTCCACAGAAGATCAGAGACGTTCCTTCTGCTCCTCCACAGAGGGTCGCTCTCCATTTCCCCTGCCTGCACCAGTTAAAGCTCTGCCCAAGCTGTGAGCCCTGAACCCTGAGCCGTGGACTATTAGCTGTCACGAGAGGCCCCAACTCAAGCCAAGCTGCAGCTGCAAAGTCCTCTGTGAACCGTGTGTGTGTGTGTGTGTGTGTGTGTGTGTGTGTGTGTGTGTGTGTGTGTCAGTGCGGATCCCAGGGTGGCCTGCCTAGGATTCTGGAACCCACCAGGACTCTGGTAAATAAACCGTGAGTGATTTGTGCATTGCATGTTTGCCTCCTGTGTCATTTATGCTCGGTGGATTATTAATTAACTACCTAGGGTCGTACGTGTCAGATTTCTGGCTGAGGCACCCTAGGTCACCTTATGGAATTATTGGGACAATAGATAATATAATCTAGTGGGTAAATTCATCCAGGTACACTGCGAATATTTATTGATAACCATACAACCTGATTTCTTGTTTTAAAAATTCACAATTCAGGCTTCTCTCCCCCCATCCCCAATGGATAGGAAATTTTCAAAGTTAATGAACAAGATCTGAGTTTGGCTTGCATCTTGACTAAAAAGTCTTGGAAAAGTGAACAATGATCTCAAATTCAACTGGGCCGCCGCTGCAGCCTCAATCCAATGGTTCTTCGGTGGTTTGGAGAGGACAATCTAGCTCCTATTACATCCTTTTGCAGATGGGAGGCAAAGAGCCCAGGTCAAGTGGCTTGCCCACTGGGCCAAATGGCGGTAGAACTGGTCCGAAAACCCCGATCTCCACACTCTCCATCTGACAGTGATAATTCAGCTCACTGTCATGAAAACTCTGGTCGAAATGGTTTATTTGGCAACTCCCTTTGTTTTTTGTTTTTTAAGTAGAGTCACTTTTAGGCTATAAAGTACTTTAATGTTATAATCTACAATGGGATCCATTCAACAATAAATCTAGACTTAAATTAGCTCGCAAACCATATAAAACAGTGGACTAGAACACAGGATGAACAGTGGCTTACATGACAGCATGGATTCTCTGTCCCACGTGAGCAGTCTGGTGTTGAGGCTGGGGCTACTGCAGATACTCAGGGATGCCCTCGGGACCAGGCTAGGCCTGGGTCTCTGTTCTGCCATCATTAGCAAGTTGGCTTTTGTCCTCATGTTCTGTGGTCACAAAATGACCACAGAAACTCAAGACATCCTGCCCACATTCCAGAAAGGAAGAAGTACAACAATGTGAACATCCTTAACACTACTGAACTGTACACTTGAAAAAATGGATAAGATGGTAAAATTTATGCGTGTGTATTTTACCACAATTAAAAGACAAACCATCTAAAAAGTGTTTCAGAATGCAATAACCGGAAACTTAAAAATTAAAACACACACACACACACACAACCTTTCTATCATGAGTTATGACATAAATTTTACTGTCTTACCTATTTTACAATTATACAGTTCACCCCAGCCTGCGTGGCTCTGTGGTTGAGAGTGAACCTCTGAACCAAAAGGTCAGGGTTCGATTCCCGGTTTGCAGACTAGATCCCCACTGTGGTGCCTGCAGGAGGCAGCCGACCAATGATTCTCTCATATAATCAATGCTTCCATCTTTCTCTCCCTCTCCCTTCCCTTTGAATTCAATAAAAATATAATTTTTAAAAAAGTGTACAGTGCACAATGTTAAGTACATTCACATTGTTGTGTAACCATGCTCTTTTCATCTTGCAAAACTGAAACTCTAAACCCACGAACAAGTCCTCATTATTCTCTCCCCTAATCCTCTGGCAGTTGGCATTCCACTCTCCGTCCTTATAAATGGGACCAAACTGAGCACTTCATGTGGTTTGTCCTTTTAAAAAATCAAAATCAAATCCTTCATGCCTCTTTCTGTTGCCCTGTCCATGGATTTGTCATGTTGACAACATCTTGAGGATGGAGTACCTTTGACCACAAGTTGTTCCTCTTTTGTCTTTTTTAAAAAATATATATATTTTATTGATTTTTTACAGAGAGGAAGGGAGAGAGATAGAGAGCTAGAAACGTCGATGAGAGAGAAACATTGACCAGCTGCCTCTTGCACACCCCCACCTGGGATGTGCCCGCAACCAAGATACATGCCCTTGACCGGAATCGAACCCGGACCTTTCAGTCCGCAGGCCGACGTTCTATCCACTGAGCCAAACCGGTTTCGGCTCCTCTTTTGTCTTTTGTTTCTTTAATCATAGAAGATAGAAAACAGGGTAGAAAGAGTTCTGTATTTGTAGCCGGAGAGGAGAAAACAAGGCCATGAATAACTCAGAAGAACATAGTGACTTTCCATATAGGAAAAGGTGAGGGTAACGCCTCCTGGCCAGAGAGCTTCCAATAGGAGGAGGGACAGGAATAAAAATTAAAACCAAACACGATTTGGTTTCATTTTGAGAGCTCTTCCCTGCTGCCACTCAGTTTTCCTGACTATCCCATGGCATGCAGTTCCATGAAAGATACAAAAGAATGGAGATATAATCTTACACTAAAAGAATAC